GGTACCACAAGGAGAGCAAGGGGTTACCTGAAACAAATATATAGCTTTGCGATGTTCAAAGCTAAGTGACAGCGATGGAATGTGTTTTACGTAGAGTACACATGTACCTTTCCCACCCTACCCCCACTGCTTCCTTGCCTCTAGACTAATTAATTAATTGAATTTAATTAATTAAACAAACATTAAAGTTTACACCTTAGCGCCATAGGGCCATAGCGCCATAGCGCCTTAGTTCCTTAGCGGCAGGCAGCTCCCATAACCATCCCAATAGTGCACTCTGCACTGAAAAGGTGCAATGTTGAGAAAAAAGTACTGCAATTCCTGAATAAATTGCATTGCTGAGAACCAATCAGAATTCCTAGGAGTGATTTCAAAATGAGTGTAATAAATGATATAACATGTACCACATTGTGTCAGAGAGGGGGAAAGGGAAAGGGTATCTCTGTAGGGTACCTTTAATTTCTGATTCTAGTGTCAGGGAGGGGAGAGGGAGGGTTGGTAGCATGCAGTGAAGAGTTTCTGATGGTTGTTAAAACTTTTAGGACTAATCCAAGTTTCTTATCTTGTTCTTTTGAAGGGAAAGGGACAAATATCTGATGTGTCTACTTCAGATAGTGAAGGAGTTGCTTCAAGAATGTCTCTTGAACCAGTAAAACAAGTCATGTAAGCTGTTGATTTTATATTATTACTAATCAGTTATAAGATTAATGGTAACATGATTATGGTACTGTTTGGGAAAAAAAGAGAGTATGTACAACACTGTCAGCCACCTAAAATGCTATAGATGCTGTGCCATAGAATAGGGAAATATTTTTCTCCCAGGATTTCAGTGTAGTAAAAGTCTTTTTCAGGTGCTAATGTTTATCTTGTACCAAAGTAAGAAACCAGATTCAATGGAAAAAAATAAATAATAATTGATTTGAAGCACTATAATAGTGATACATGGGATACCTCTGACTGAATGTTACATGTCTGTTGCTGCATATTTTTGTTTCTTCTACAGACACATGACAGGCAATGATAACGAAGGTAGTCAGTCGGTATATGGAAGTGATGTTGAAATTGTAACCAGTGGTTCAGCCACTATAACAAGTGTTACGGCTAGTAACAAGGTGAGATAGAACACATTGCATCTGTAGCAATTGGAAAAACCTTTCAAGAAACAGTTTTCTTTTCAATTATCTATCAGAATGTCTCCATTTTTGTTCCCTATAGTACCTGTTATAGGTTTTTCCAGCTCTATTTTTCACTCTGTCAACCTCTCCAAGCTGAAATGAGCTTAACATGGTCACATTCTCATAACTGATTCATTGTTTTATAGATTAAGTTTAATTCAATGGTGAATTATGACTGGGAGCTGAGGTATTATAGGGGATGTCTGATAGCTGTCAGCAGCAAGTGTATTGCTTATGCTCTAAGAGGTAATAAATTAGTCTAAGTAATATCAAACATGAGAGTACATGTTTCATCACATTTTCAAATACTGAGAAGGGAGTGCAAAACACACTTCAGAAAGAAGATTTTAAACAAAACTTTCAGTTGTTTGGAAAAGTGGTAAACACTCAACCATCTCAATTGTTTGATGTATCTTCTCAATGGAAAGTAAAACTAAAGAGAAAAGAGAGAAATAAATTGATAGAAGTCTATGTTAGTCAAAGTCAGATATCCAAGTACATTTGCAGTTATGATTTTGCTTGTTTTACCCCATTTACTCCTGTGCCAGCTCTAATCGGCTGTGATGAGCATTGACCTTTGCTCCACCTTTGACCAAATTTGGTATCACTTATACCCAAGTTCTTCCTAAATTTTATGACAGTGCATGGTTTGAACAGTTTTAAAATTATGTGATTCAAGGATGTCATGCAATATCAATGTTTGAACAGTTTTAAAATCATGAGATTCAAGGATACCTGTAATATTTAACACTTAAGAGTGATTTTCTGAGAGTGTCGAGAATCGGAAGACACTCACGAAAAATCGATTTTTCTTTTATTTCGCCAAAACATACCTTTGGGTGAACTTANTAAATTGATAGAAGTCTATGTTAGTCAAAGTCAGATATCCAAGTACATTTACAGTTATGATTTTGCTTGTTTTACCCCATTTACTCCTGTACCAGCTCTAATTGGCTGTGATGAGCATTGGCCTTTGCTCCACCTTTGACCAAATTTGGTATCACTTATACCCAAGTTCTTCCTAAATTTAATGACAGTGCATGGGTTGAACCGTTTTAAAATTATGTGATTCAAGGATGTCATGCAATATCCATGTTTGAACAGTTTTAAAATCATGAGATTCAAAGATACCTGTAATATTTAACACTTAATGACTGGTCCCTTTGGGAACAGTGAATTTTGTTTCCCGCAAATCTCAATGTTTCCAAAGATGAAGTCAAGGGAAACATTGAGATCCAAGGGAAACAAAATTCACTGTTCCCAAAGGGACCAGTCATTATGTGATTTGTTATTTAGCAAAACAAAACAAAAGCAAATTGTGGAAAACGCGCTGAGATTCCAGCGACAACATCAGGCCACCTTCAACTGCACAGTTTGATCACGTGCAACAGCAGTCAACATTTTGCGGGTAACAGTAAACTGTTTCCTGTTTGATGTCATAGCTTTTGCAATGTTGCCTGCTCATGGCATTTGGCTATAAACAGTTTCATTGTTAGATGTCATGTGACCGTGAACTAGCCACTGAATGGGCGCACTGTAGCAGGAAAAACGCCAGCTATATAACAACAATGTTTGTTTCAGGTCGTCAAGGTTATGTTGTAAGGCTCCTTAACCCTGAGACAGCATCTAGGACTCTAATCAAAGGATTTGTTGGTATGATCAGTGAGCTGGCTTTTTCCCACAAAGACTCCAATACCTTGGCATGCGTTGATGAGGGCGGAAATGTTTATATCTGGGTCATCCATGAAGAAAATGGCAAACTAGAGTATCCTTTGGTATCATTAGCAAGGGTAATCCATAGTTTCATCCTGGCAAAATAATAATTGATTGTAGAACCTCAACTTAACACATTGTACTTGTGAGGTGTTTTAAGAACTACATCTACACCTAATTTGAAGAACTGCTTCTACATCGACATTTAATTTAGTTGGTAAAATCACAACAGTTTATAATAGTTGGTTGCTTAATACACACCTTAACCCATTCTTAGATACTCTGTAAAACTTCACATTAAACGTCCAGCGAGCACACTCTCAGAGCATCACCGACTGATATGGACTCCTTACATGCCTGATGCTGAGGAGCAAGAAGGGAGTGAAGAATCCATTGGAGAGGAAGGCCGTCCACTGGCCATCACACATGGAAATCAGGTTGTTACTCTTTTGTGTTTAAAGTACTAGTTCATTCACTCCACTGTTATTATATTCATACTGTGGAGATGTTACTGTGTAAGTTGTTTGTGCTTGTAATGTCTCTAGAAACAAGAGCATCCTTTCGCTTCTTGGATATGATGTCTCCATGAGGATTTACCTTCAGTAGGCTAATAGAGACTTCATAGCAGCCACCTCTCCACAATCTATTTTGCGTCCTAACCAGGGACGAACTTAAACTTTTTACTCTTGTGGAAACCTCCCTACAGCATCCACTCCTCTGCCACACTGATTCTGTCTTAGGGAGGCCACTTTAGAGAGGTTCAACTTTATTTGCTATTTGACACACATATCTCATCATGAACACCGTGGTGATGCTTAGGCTATGGGGCATGTGTCCTCTCTTATTGGTCCTGGAAAGGACACTCTAATCAACAATATTAGATTATGACCTCGAGATTTCTATGAGGTGATAGTTGTTGAGGCTTAAGACCGAATCAACTATCGCCTCATAAAAATTGGGAGTGAATCTAATTGCTAGAGTAGAATTCTAACTGAAATTTCCTTCAAATAACAAGTTGAATTATTTCTGGTCTTAGTATTAAATTTCACGCTTTGGAGAATTTGCACGCACTGAATTGTCATTTTGACATTAATTTTGCAGTTGTGTATGCGCGCTTATCAGTTTCTTTAAAAAATCCGCAGCTTTTTTAGTTCAAGAAACCATAAAAATTAATGCCCTCCTTATAGTCTTCTCAGGAATTTGATTATCCATTTATTTCTAAATGTTCTTTCAAAACTTTGGANGTAGAATTCTAACTGAAATTTCCTTCAAATAACAAGTTGAATTATTTCTGGTCTTAGTATTAAACTTCACACTTTGGAGAATTTGCGTGCACTGAATTGTCATTTTGACATTAATTTTGCAGTTGTGTATGCACGCTTATCAGTTTCTTTAAAAAATCCGCAGCTTTTTTAGTTCAAGAAACCAGAAAAATTAATGCCCTCCATATAGTCTTCTCAGGAATTTGATTATCCATTTATTTCTAAATGTTCTTTCAAAACTTTGGAGAAACGAGGAAACGTTGCAATTTTGTTGACCACACCAAGCCACTGTACGCTAATGGCTGAGAGTGTGCAGTGGCTCAGCCAATCAGATTTCAGCATTTGCCTAAGTGTACTAGTAGAATTCTACTAATCCTGAGTAATGTCTAATAAATGCAGGCATGCTTTTAGAAATTGGCACATTTGAAAACCTCAAGTGGTACCGGTACTCTACAAAATTAATGTTTCAGTACCATTTTTTGCCCAATCTGGAATTCCTGTAAGTAGAACTTCTTTTCACTTTGTGCATGTAATTCACTGTTCCTCACTTAAACGTCGTTTGTCCCTTGATAAGAAGTAAAAGTGGAACTTTGTTGATAGGGCACAAGGCGACCAAAACTGTGTCGGTTTAAGCATTTCTGGCAGCATTACAAAACACCCTGCCACACTAAACATGTTCAACATCTTGCATTTAACAGGTGGAGGTAATAGATATCGATGCTTTGGCTGAATCATGTGGAAGAGCAGAAGTGTCGTTTGACGAAGTACAACAAAGAGAAGGATATCTAGAAATCCGAGATGGGCACTCAAAGGTAAAACACTATAACTTCCATTAATTTTTGTTGTGTGAGGAATATTTTGAAGAGTCTTGGGCCTTCTTAACAATTTTTCACTAGATCCCAAACCAGATTGTATGATACTAGAAAATATCCCTATCCCCACTTGGAACGTTTTTGGTTTGACCTCCCACCCACCTGGATTCAGTCATACATTCCTTTACAAATTTTAGCAGTAGAGACCTCCACCCATTTGGAATTTCCAGTGACTGTCCATTGGGTGGGTCTGGGTACTTTCTGGAACTGCACATTGTAGCACATACCAAGTAAGAACATGTTCGCAGTTATCACCAGGTAGTGATGTTTGTTTATTTGACTGTTTAGTCTAGTTATAAGAACAATAATTATTACATGCTATTTATAATCACATTATACTTTGAACTGATCTCACTATTTGAAAATTACTTCTGATCAACATTAAACTTTTTCTGAAGTATTTCACCTCTTTACACACTTGTTGTGTGTTAGGTTGGGCTGTCCAATTTTTGTGTGTGTGATGTTTTGAGCCCTTTTTTATGCCCTGAAGGTCTTAAGTAACAGTTTCAAAGCAGTCAAAAAGGTTCTGTTATTAAGGGCCTTAAGAAACAATATAAACATCCTTGAAACATCACCAAAATGTATTAAACGTACCATAGAAAAATTCCTGTTAAAGAAAGAATTTAAAGTTGTAAAATTGTTTCCTTAGCCAATATCAGAGGGAGCTCTTTCACCAGATGGCTCAGTACTAGCAACAGCCAGTGAGGATGGTTACATTAAGTTTTGGCAGCTGTCTGACAAAGTAGAGTGTATGCATGAATTCCAGCCTCATGGTGGACAACCTTTGTCCTGCATGATTTTTACCGACAATCAAACCTCACAAGATAAAGAGTGAGTGAAAATAGTCCAATTTAGAGAATGATATTAGCATGATTTGGTATGTCATTCCAAGAACTCTCCTGTTAGCATTTTGTTTAGTTTTGGGGGGCAAATTTGCAGCACCATGGGTAATAATGAACACAGGACAAACATTGTGGGACACTTGTTGTTTTGCTTTCCTCGTGAATAGGTGATGGGACAATAATCCTACCTTAACCTGTTACAATGTTGTTGACTGAAAATTCATTGCCTCCCATTTTGCAACTTGCTTGAGAGGAGGAAAGTCCCTATTTCATTTATATTCAGAAACATTTCTATGCTTCTACTGTACACTGTACACTTGGAACTCTAATGCAGAGTGTATGTCAAGTATTAAGTGTTGAGTGTTTGAGAGTGTAGAGAGTAGAATGTAGAGTGTGGAGTTCTGTATAGTAGATGGTGATGAGTATTCATGCAAATTGTTCACATGTATAGAAAGTGTACTACACTGTCTACTTTCCACTGTTTTACTATGCACTCTGGTGTTCTCTACAAGTGTAGATAAAGAGTGTGGAATTTAGAGTGTAAATTGTTGTGTAGTTGTTGTTTTGGGTGGAGAACTCTGCACTTCTACATCATGCACTCTAGTGCTGTGTGAAAATGTAGGGTGTAAACGTTGGATGTGAAGGTAGAGTGCAGAGCGTTAAGTGTTGAAGGGTATAGCTTTACATTGCATGCTTCACTGATGTAAACTGAAGAGTATGATTTCAATTATTATATTACAGTATTATATATAAAATACATACATGTCTGTGTAGTCAGGCTAGGTCCTCAAAAATAGTTTTTTTGACAATGTTAATTGCTACCATTGATTTACTGAAAACTCATTAATAGTACTCTTGGTTGTAGGTTGTTGGTAAATACCAGTAACAGTATTATGTTTTTTCTTCTTTTCAGTCTTCCAATGTGGCGATTTTTAATTACAGGGGCCGAGTTTAACAGAGAGATTAAAGTTTGGTGCACAGTTACATGGACATGTTTGCAAACAATCAGGTAAACTACTCTCAGAAACTTGCAATGATATGATACGTAATCAATCACATTGTTCTTTTAGGTTAAAGTAATATTTGTGATTTTGCTCATGTCACTTGCAGATTTACATCTCAAGATGTGCCAACTTCTGGGTGAGTTGTTTGAATAATTTAAATTATGAAACTCAGTGTTTCTACTTCACCCCTAGTCATGGCTTTTGATAATAAAAAAATGCTTTACCAATCATTTGATGGCAATTTATAGATCACCAGTTTGCCAACACATAACTAACAGCCCACCACCACAGTTGAGTAACACACTATAGCAGTGTTTCTGCCAGAGTGTGCCATTGCGGGAATCCTGTGTTGCAATCAGAGATGGCCCCCAGAAAAACGAAAAAAGGGCCAATTTGGCCCTTTCCTTTTACAAGACGTCAGGCTTAACACAGGCATAATATTTTAAAAGCCATCCCAGGACTCAAAATTGTGATCGATACTGTCGCCAATGCAACTAACATNACTTACTATTAAATTTTATCATAGATCCTAATACACTGCTTTATTTCTCTTGGTACCCTGATGTATTTTTTCCTTCTGTAGCTTTCTATTTAGTGGCCCCTTTTGTAAAAATTGGCCCCTAAAAAAGATCTTCAGGGGCCACTTTGGCCCTCAAGTAAAATTTTCTGGCTGAAACACTGCTATAGCTAGCTCTCAATTGACTCGCAGTTGACTGACTGACTGACTGACTGAGTGGTTAATAAGACAGTCAATCAGTAAGTCAGACAGACAAACAGTCAGACAGCCAGTCAGGTAGGCTGACATTCATTCATTCATTCCATTCATTGATTCACTGTTTCATTCAGTCAGTGCATCAGTGCATCAGTCCGTCAATCCATCAGTCCATCGGTCAGCCAGTCAGTCATTCAGTCCTGACTGACCATCTGATGGACTGGCCAGCTGGCCAGTAGTACAGATGGCCCTATAATACATATGGCCAATTAATTGTGACAATGATTTACTGTGAACTTATTGATGAATAAATCATAGTGACAGCAATGTTTTCCCTTTCAAGTCCTATCCATCGTTCATTCCTGAAAGTGAGCTTGGACCTCTCAGCATCGTATTTGGTTATTTCAGATGTTCTCAAAAAGGTATAAAATAATGGCTTAGCTATTAATTTACTAGACAAGTGTTTAGGTGTTTTTTTCTACTAGTGTTTCCAATCTGTTTGTGTTTCAAGTTAGAATCTTCCCAAAGGAGTTCAGGTTTTCCTTTACAGTGAAGAAACTTGAACCATGAACACTCGGCTTTTTTGTACATTTTTGGGGCAAATAAGGTTTCTCTAAAGTATTAGCTTTTGTACACTGTAAAAATGATAAATCTTGTACATTGAACAGGCCTCATTCTATAGTCATGAAAACAAAAAAGTTCAAAAAATATTAATGGTTTGAGTGTCCCTACTGTAATTAATGTTTCATAGATTTTCATAAATTTTGGATTGTGTTCAACACCTTGGACAGATTCTTTCAAATTCTGGTTGTTGTCAGTTGGAACAAACTAAATAAATGAGGAAACTCCAATCTTCAAAAGATCAACTTTAATGAGCTAGGGTAAAATGTTTGCATTANTGTTGTCAGTTGGAACAAACTAAATAAATGAGGAAACTCCAATCTTCAAAAGATCAACTTTAATGAGCTACATGTAGGGTAAAATGTTTGCATTAAATTTTGGTTGTTAGCATCATTACACCAGACTAGAAGTAGCCACAAGTGTGGCGAATGATAAGTGCAGGACTTTGCAACATGGTGAGACTAGCTAGCATTTTCCCTTGTTAGCTCAAGACACTTCATTTTTGACTATTTAAATTGTGAAACTGCGAGTGCGAGATTTTCAGTCTTGAAATTCAAACCCAGAGTTAGTATGAGAGTGAAGTCTTACAAATAAGTCTTCAATTGTAAATGCTTTTACGAGAGATCAAATCTGAGTCACTTGCAAAAAGGCAAGAACCTAAGACAGCTTTGTAAAAACATCAGACTGTGAGATGCACATAACTGCTAAGAAAATGAAATTGCTAGACCTGTGAGATTTGACTAAACTATTGCAAGACCCAGTGTTTTTGAAGGACCATTCGCCACCCCTCTTATTTAATGATACCGTACATGTAGTTTCCAAGATATGGTCAACATGTAAGACCTCATCTCTGTATGTTCAGATGTTATTGTAGGCATACTACAGTTATTGTTCTGGACCTGGCAAAAGCTGGAAAATGCCATGCACCTGATAAATCACTATCCAGTAGATATAGTGTGGTTTGTTTTGTAATTCATTCATCTACTGGATAGTAATGTATCCTGTGGCTAGCTTTATCCACCCTTTGAGTGACCTGAGCCTGAAGTAAAGGGATCTTTCTTGCCTCCAAAAACCAGGTTATTTATGTACTCATGTTTCATCAAGACTATACCTATGGTCAAGCACATGTCACATCAGTGGCAGAGTTCCTACTCACGCAGCCGCTACTTAGTTTTGTTGTTGGCCAAGTTAAAATGTTCAAACTAAAGTCACATGAAGAGCAAAATGGACAGGAAAATGGAGAAAGCCATGATGAGGATGATATTCATTCATCACATGTGGGACTAGAAGAATTAGCTGCTGGAGATAAAAAGGGAAAGAAATATGGTGTTCAGTTACAGCTCTATTGCATTCAAACCAAGTAAGGACACATTAAAGGAAGTTTCATTCTGAATTTATATATTTTTTACACCAACTGTTATAGGTACTTTTTCAAGAGTAAATTATTCCAAATTACTAAATAAATAATAATACGTGGGTGTCTTGAAATACAAATTTCTCTTTCTTTTATCAGTGATTTCCTGACAATTTCTGAGCATTTTCCGGTGTTCACGGAATGCTATTTTTGAAAATTGTCCTATATATTCTGATGTGTATCATTATAAAACACGTCTAGTTTTTGATTAACATTGCTTGACCATTGATTTGTAATCTGGTATAACAGAACTTACCCTAAATCCTCTGATAATCATCTGATGGCTTTTTTGTTGCTCTAAATTCTTTGGTTTGAGAATCCTTGTGGGTAGATGCATTAAAATAAATTAAGATGGCATTAAGGTACCTTAGCAATTAAAATTTAACAACTGGGCTTTTTGCGTTTTAATTATGAAAAACAAGCAACATTTCTGAACATTGGAATTTGTTCTGGATTTGAAAACTCTCCAGTGAAGATCTGTTCAAGGATAACATTGTTATGACAAGAAAAAGCTAATGGAGATAAATGCTACAGTGTCACACAGTTGATGTATTCTTGATTTCTGTCACTGCAGAGCAATGCAAGAGCTTCTGGTGCACTTTCAGCCTGAGCCATCTGTCCCTCCGCCCACTCCATCAACACTGTCCTCACTTGCAACTTTAGAAGGTCAATCTGGTGAGTCTACTCTTGAGAATACATGCATGCATGCACAGACTGGGTATGCTTTTTAATTTTCTAAGGGGTGAAAATTGTAAATTATACATACAGTACTGCTCAGAACTAAGCAAACATAAAATGCATGTTCTCAATGAGCCCCTAATGCGTTTTTGCCAATGTGATAGGGCCACGTATTTTTGCCAACGCATCAGCCTTTGTTATTCATAACCAATGTTCCTTTTGTGATGCTTTGTCATGGCGAACAAAGCAGGACTTCAGTTCAAAACAAATGCATGATTTGTAAATCCATGTAAAGCGAAATTCAAATCAAGACACAGCGAATTAACAAGCCAAGTTGAAAATTTGACCGTTGGAACACAGGCGGCCCAAGCTCGCAATGTTATCCCTTTTTTTTCCTTTTTATGCAAATGTTCAGGCTAACGTGACATATGGCATGTACTATTACATAACAACCAAATTTGACCACGTGAAACATGACTCTCGCCTTGCAGCATATGGAGGTGTTGTGTTAAAACAGTTTGAATTTATAAAGGTTTGTATGGGAATGCAACAGCTTTACTTGAAAAGCCAATTATTCCTATATTTTGTGAATAAAATCTACTTACCCTGTTGCTGTGTTATATTCTTTGTTGTTTGCCAGCTCCTCAGGCCAATCTAACGCGATTTCGGCAAGTTATCGTTTTGTGCGTTTCCACTACTTTTTACTACTTTTAGTGGTGGAAACCCACAGAATGATAACTTGCTGAAATCGCATTAGATCGGCCCAAGGAGCTGGCAAACAACAAAGAATACAACACAGCAACAGGGTAAGTAGATTTTATTCACAAAATATANATCGCATTAGATCGGCCCAAGGAGCTGGCAAACAACAAAGAATACAACACAGCAACAGGGTAAGTAGATTTTATTCACAAAATATAGGAATAATTGGCTTTTCAAGCATAGCCGTTGCATTCCCATACAAACCTTTATAAATTCAAACCATTGTAACACAACACCTCCATATGCTGCAAGGCGAGAGTCATGTTTAGCGTGGTCAAATTCGGTCGTTATGTAATAGTACATGCCATATGTCACATTAGCCTGAACGTTCACATAAAAAGGAAAAAAAAAGGATAACATTGAGAGCTTGGGCCGCCTGTGGTTGGAATCGCAGAACCACTTTGTAACGCTACCACTGAAGGGTGACCCTGAAAGCCGGAACGGCGGAAGGGCAGAATCACGGAACGGCAGAAAATGACCCCGAATCCTAAAAGACGGATTTGTGGAACGGCAGAAAATGACCACAAATCCTAAAAGATGGAATCATGGAACAGCTTAATGGCGGAAAATCCCCCGAAATCCTAAAAGACGGAATGACTGAAAATCCCCCAAAATCCTAAAAGACAGAATGATGGAAAATCACCTGAAATCCTAAAGGACGGAAAGACAGAAAATCACCCAAATTCCTAAAAGACGGAATGACGGAAAATCACGCGAAATCCTGAAAGACGGAATGATGGAAAATCACCCGAAATCCTAAAGGACGGAATGATGGAAAATCACCCAATTTCTGAAGAGGAGTAAGGGAAAGTGAAAAAAGGCACAGGTTTGTGAAACCCCCCTCCCTGTGTAAAATAATAATTTCTTTTACTGTTGTTAAGAATTTGTTATCCTTTAGATTTCTCCTACCAATTCTTTCGCATATTACAGTCGAACAAAGTGACAAAATTGAGAATTTCCATGTGAACGGTTGTGTCACACCGTCACACTGTGCAGACAAAGTGAGGTAAATCCTAAAACCACTGATCAGTGGTGATAATAATGGGGTGACAGGCCTACACAACTCCTGTCCACGTGTAATAGCTGCTTTGAAAGTTTTGCTTGAACTAGTATATCTTTAAGGATCTGCCCCTTTTGTATACATTGTACNTGTCTGACTTAAGTGGAGTAGAAACAGGAACAGAAGCAAGCACAGATGTTGAAGAGCCTGATGAACATACTGATGGACCACTCCCAGTCAGAACAAAACTAATAACACCAGAGGCTTTTTCGAACTCTGTATCCAGAGGCTCACCCCGCCCTGAAGCTGTAAGCAGCAGTGGTGGAAGCAGTGTTACCATGGTTTCTGGACTGAATAACTCACAGGTGTCAGTTGACGAACTTCTGGGTTCATCTGTGTCATCAAGACTGTCTGACAATACTGTCAGGTCGAGTAATTCGGCCACACCTCAAGGGTCTTTCACTCATGATAGCGGTCTTTTAACACCAACATCCCTACCCCTTCCTGGATCACCAACAGTAACCCAGGCACCTGATCCTCTTGCAATTCCTATTCCAAATTTCCAGTCTAGTCCTCACCCAGGATCAGTTCAAAATAAGTCAAGTCCAACATCTTCAAGTTATGAGCCTTTAGTGCCTGTTACGAACAGTGAGACTCAATCTGCTACTTATGGTTTGATGAATACAAGTGTTGAGAATGGTTCAAGTGGCTCAAAGAACACATCTCCAAATGAAAGGGGTAGATCAGGCAGTCCTGGCAGTGTAGAAAGAGATATTGAAGTATCTGTTGATGATGATAATAAGGACGAAGGAGAAGAAGAGTTGCCAGAATCTCAAAAACCTGAGGCGGAAACACAAGAGGAAGTAATTGAGCGAGATCGAAAATCCAGCTCAGGATCCAGTACAAGTGAAAGTTTGAGACCATTATCTGCTCATGCAGTAGGAAATCTTATTAATTTAGAAGATGTTGACAAGGGTAAAGATGATATCGTCCAAGCAGATGGGGAAGATATGTTTACAGAGGAAAATCTGTTAGAACAGTGGGACATGAATGTTGATGATGAAGTAGTTCCAACTGGACGGGAAAGTCCTGAGTCAGCACATGCACTTCCTGTTGGCACACCAGTAGAATCCAGTGGAGCAAGAAAGAGACCTTCATCACTATCAAGGTATGCCTAATTATGAAATAATTAACAGGAGATCATAATTCTTTTTGCTTGTTGAACAAGTTATCATCATGTAAAGGCTGACAGTTCTAGACCTGATTTGTAGTGTATATACGTTGATCTATGCTGACAGCACTGTCTAGATCTTACATTTGGAATTCACACAACAAAATTGATGGTTCTGATAAGTCTGCTTGGATCAATTTAGATTTGGAGAAGTTATTTTAATGGAAGAGGAGGAGGAAAAATATTATTTAGATTAATAATTGTTTCTTTCCTCTCAATTTTAGATTTGTTTCCACACCTGTAAGTACAACAGATATTCCCCCACAGCAAGTCCAAGTTGCAATGGTAAGAACTCCCTCCCATCCAATGATTGATTAGTCAATACTATATTTAACATTACGATAAATGAAATCTTAAGAGGAATCCACATAAGCCCTAGTTGGCTTTTGTTCAAGTCTTCTATTCAGGTCAATTTGGAATTGGAAATGTTGGTTTATCAGGAGGTTCAGGAGGGAGAAAAACTTTATTCCCCGAAGAAAACCTCTTGAAACTAGGATGAGAACCAACAACAAACTCAACCTACAAGTGGCAGCAAACCAGAATTGAACCTGAGCCCATTCGGTGGGAGAGGAACACTCTCCCTGCTCCCCTCATCTAATGATATACATTATGGGTGACCATGTTGTAGCCTATTTACAAACCTGAGCTGGGACAAGAATTTGCAAGTCAGACACAACACAAGCTTGGAAGCTTGGACAGTTGTGTCTCAAGTAACAGCTACTTTGCTATACAAGCCACAATGGATGACAAGAGTAATGACGCGTTTCGATATTAACCTCATTTTCTTTTTCATTAATTTGCATGTAGTGTTAATTCTCTGACACCCCCTGTTGTCTGTACAGTTTTATAAATAAAAAACAAAAGACTTCAAAAAATGTAGGTTCTTGTACACGGGTTTTTACTGTAATAGAAAATGGCTTTTCAGTAACCTAAAGCATGACTGTACTTTGCAGGATGGTAGTATCTTGTCATCACTTGGAGAACTCCTGAGTTTGGTCAAATCACAGCAGCAGGATATAAGTGAACTACGTCAGCAGCTGAACATGTATCAGGCTGATCAACAGCAGAAAATATCAGCCGTAGTACATGAAGTGCAGATGATTGATGAGAGAGTCTCCACCAGATTGGGAAACGCACTGGCTGAATTTTCCAGGGAGGCATGTATCCAATTGTCATCATGTACACTTGGTGTAGGTACCATTCTCTTACCTGTCTCCTACCTCTTGGATCTTAAAATAATAGACAACAGATCACAGTAATTTCCCTAGTTTAAGTTACCCCATAAAAATAATTTAAACTCATCACCAATAGATGACCTTGGAAACTGGTGCCTTATAGGTCAGCAGGGGTGTGTGAATGCTTCAGGCACAGCAGGGAGGTATCCATGGTAACCCTGTGAGCGGAATCAATAATAATAATGTTGTTTATCGGAAACAAATGGACACAGAGGTATAAGAGAGTGGAGCCTAAATTCCAGTTTCCTAGGTAGTACCACAGGCTATCTAGCAGTAACATTGATTGGCAGACCTTAAAACAAGGCTTGGCGTTTAGTTTTGGAATATTAACAGTAATTATTTTTTGGAGCATGATTTGTAAATGCAGTTCCACGAGTTATTGCACAGAACCATGTTTCCTTGACTGGCTACTTAGCTCAACGTCTAGAAAAAGCTCTGCGTGAGAGACACTCTGGAGACAAGAAGAGACATGAACAGCTTCAGAGTACCCTGTCACAAACACTCACCACCACCCTGTCAGGAAAATTGGACAAAGCTCTCAAGGCTGAAGTTAAGAGTGCAGTGGTTCCATCTGTACAGAAAGTATTGAGCTCTCTACAGGAGCAGCTTAACACTACATTGGCACAGGTATCGATAAAGTATTTGTAGTACTTAGCTGAACAGACTACAGTAACTGTAAAGTTCTGAAAGTAGTGACCCTCATTATGACCCCAACAAGCACCATAGTTCAGCAAGTCAAACATAAAAAAAATTTTGGTATAGATTATATATATAGATTAATATATTGCCCTTGCACCGTCAGATCATTTTGGTGCTGCTTGTTTTTCATAACCAGCTAAGTTGTGTTTGAAGTTGCAACTTTGGGAAAGTCATTACTTCTAGAGGGTCCCTACTTTGTGGATTTGGGAAGAAATATCAGAGGTTGTTAATTCCAGAACTTGATTGTGTCATGCTAAGTCCCTCCCTCCAATTTACCTTCATGTTTGATTTGAGATGTTATTGCACAACTCTGATGTACATTGTAAATACAGTTTTCCTGCCATTGCTTTCCAGATCAAATATGGTGATTTTTTTTTCACTGAGAATGACAGTATTTCTGAATATCACCTAAAAATTTCTGAAAACTTTCAACTTTCCAAAGTCTAACAAAGTTGCAGAGTTATCAAAGGCCAAATACAGCTTTGTCCCCTGACGTTTTCCTCCTCAAAATTAAAATAGTTTATATCAAGTAAGTTTGATTTATAATACATACTTTGAGATTTTTTTTCCTGAACTGAGAGTAAAGTTTGCACACTTTTAAAGGTAATACATTTGATGTCATAATGCCATATACATTGACTGCTGCCACTTGAAATATTTTGTATTTCATGGATCCACAACAGACTTTTCCCGCATTCTAACAAACAATGGTACCAAGTCGAGTTCAGGGTGGACAAAAATACAGCAACTGTATGAAAATGTCCACCCCAACCTTGCTCTGGTGCTATTGTTTGTACACACTGAAGTGGAAGGTCCATAGGCTTGTTAGAACATTTAAGATGGTATGCTAAAACTAATACCAGAGAGGTTGCCAAAATGAAGAGTTAATTGTGTAAATCCCTCACTCTGGAATTTTCTTGTTAGAAACTAACTGCTGCAGACAGTGTTTTGAAGGACAGTATTGCTAAGATGGTGAAAAGTAAGGTACAGTGTCAAGCAAATGACATACTTCTTTTGTGTTATTTTGAGCAATGAGACTTAACTTACCTGCTGATAGAAATTTAGTAACAGTCTCTGTCATACAGCCTTTCTTGTGCAATGCCGTAGAAAAATATATTGCAAACTGATGTCAAGATTAGGTGAAGTGAATCAATTTGGAAAAAGGTGTTCAGCTCTGCACTTGTCAACAACTTATTATAGGCATGTACAGCTTCACATTCTTTATAATTTCTAACAAAACCAATGTCACAAAGGTGGCATGATAAGAATTCTTCACTGTCTTAAGTTGGGCCAGACTACAAAGTCTTCTGGCCTTTGGTCAGGATTGATGGTCCTTGCTGAGCTTAGTCCATCTGCCCTGACTTCTAGCCAATTTTTTTTTTTCTGTCTGTGCTTCTAACTCAGCTCAAAGGATTTTATCAGCCTTAGGTTACTTCACAAACCACATCCTTATTTAAATCAGACTTCTCACATTATTACTCTTCTGTGAACAGGGCGTAGTAGATGCCATTGGTGGGGCAGCAGCAAGTGCACTTCAGGGACCTATCCAGGTGACTTACCGTGAGGCATTCCAGAGCACCATTTTGCCGTCATTTGAGAGGGCTTGCCATAACATGTTCCAACAGATAAATGATTCATTTCATAAAGGAACACAGCAATGTATGTTGGTTTTATTGGTTTGTTTATTTGTCTGTTTTTTCCTTATGTTTTGTTGATGAGTGTTTTTTCCTCCATCTGTTCTTAAGGTCAATCTGTCATCTCTTCTGTGTTTCCATCACATCTCATTGGACAAGCTGTTGTTTGTTGTTGACAGTAGTTATGCTTAATTCTGCCTAATTCTGCCTTTTTGGTATGTTCTGGTAGCATATCAGGTGAGTTTGGTTGAGCCATGGTTTGACTGCATTTTGGCAAGAAGCAGTCGAGGCTAAATACTCATGGTGAGACCAAACAAGCCTGAAGCGTATCAAAAAGGGTATGATTAAGTATTTACAGTACTCATAAATCAGGCCACGTCAAGTCAGCGACTTGATATTGCAGGTTATGATTAATGCATCAAGTATTTTCACTCGCATGAGATTGGTTGTGACTGAGCTAAAACCGCGGAATGTCTGAGTGATATTCCCCAATTTTTAAAAGATCCTGTGACTTGCGAAAAATATTTTAAATGTTAGTAAACACAATAGCCTCCATTTGACTTGAAAAATATGCTCAGATATTTGTCCTTGAACATTATCTCTCCCTTGAAGCTCGCAGTTTTCCTTGAGTTTTTCTCTCAGAAAACTGCTTGCTTCTCTGAAGAGATAATGTCTGCAAACAAATATCTGAGTTTAGTATCCAACTGCAGTGAATACCGTCCAAATAACAGTACAAATATTTAACAATTATTCCATGAGCGCGTGTTGGATATGAGATGGTAAATAGCCAATGAGGCCCGTAGGGCCGAGTTGGCTATAACCAATCTCATAACCAACAAGCGCAAATGGAATAATTGTTTTGTNGAAACTATCTGAACGTCAGATTCATCTTAAGAATCTCCAAGGCCACCCTGATCAGTGGTTTTTCGTGGCTGGTAAAGAACCGGGCTTACTTCGGTTCAGTTCAAAACACTAAACTCCTTGAGGTGTTTTTCGCAAGGACAGAATTGTTGACACTAGCTGTCGTTGATTCCCTTGTCCTCATCGGACAAAAAAGAGACCGAGATAAAACTAGGTTGTTCTCTGTAGCTGTGCGGGATTTTTGCTCTTGGCCGATCCGAGCTTGCTTAAGTCGAACAGTTTCCTCATCTGCTCATTGAAAATTGGTTTCTTATGGCCGGACTACGCCAGCAATGATGCCTGTTTACGTTTTCCGGAGGCCTTTTACAAATGCTCTAATAAGTTTTTTTGCCTGGTCAGTGATAGTGGAAAATGGTTTGTTGTGCGGCGGAGTGCGAAGGAAATGATTAATGGCGACTCTAATCGATTTAATCGATGAACTTTTGCAATACATGCCATCTTTCTTCCTAGCAGACATGTAAAAATACTTCAAACAAACATTCCGTTCTTCTTTTGACATTTCTTATATTGCTCTATTGCTCTACAGGTTGGCGCGTGCACGCAAAACCATCACACTCTCCCTCTTTTCATTGATAAATTTATTGACTACAGCAGTTGGAGAATAAATCCCTTATTACATGTTTTGGTTTGATGTTTTGGTTTTCGGGCTCGTCAAAATACGGTACAACTCGTAAAAATATACAGCAATACTACACACCAAAACATCTAAGAAGATATATATATTTGTGTGGCAAATGGAGGCTATTGCTGATATATCATGACAGTAAACAAGGCTTCTGATTGGCTAATGATATGGCAGTCTTGACACAGCGAGTGATTTAGAATTCTTAAAACCATGTAGCTCAAATGGTAGTTTAAATTGTTACTTACCTTATCACAGACCTGCATCAGGTTACAACTGCTCTGGATAACCGTAGAAGAGAAGAGAAAGAATCTTTTGAACCTGTAATGCGACAGCTAGAAGCACAGACACAGTCATTCCAGGCCATGACAGAGAGACTGTCATCAAACATTATGGCTGACTTTGAGGTCATGTTACAAAAGCAATTGTCGTCATCCATAGAAGGGTAGGTGCATAAATGATACATCGTTTTTTTACCTTACACCTTACATGTACATTGTTATCTATTCTATTTCTTTTTCGTTATTTTGGGTTGTCCAGGACACTTTGAAAACAGCTTATGCTGACAGTACTATCCTGGCTCAATATGTTGATGATGATGATGATGATGATGATGAGGATTATGATGATGATGATTATTATTACGTGTACCAGTAATATGATGTTTGTGCAGATAGTAACATTACATTTCAGGAGAATAGTGTGACCTATTTTATTCTTGTTCAAGTAGTTTTTACCAACTTTGAGTAAATGTCTGCACATGAACATAATTTGAGCATTCCTTTTATAGGAATGAGCGTTCCTTTTATAGTCAGCGGCTATAACCAACACCTAATATTGCAATGTTCAGGCTGTACTTCTTTACACATTTTGACGCTCACGTTATCAGTCATTGCAGGCTGGGACTCCTTTAATCTAACAAATTTCAAGCTGTATAAATAATGTCGATATAAAATAAGTTTGATGTTCATTCTTTTAAATGGTCCACACTACCAGTAATTGTTTTTATTCTTATGCAGCTTGGTTTTTGAGGACCAGAGAATTATTGTCAGAATGGTTTTTGATTGCATTGTATGTGTATTCTTGGTAGTTTGCGTGAAGAGATTTTCTCACGGCTGTTGTCAGAGGTCTTAGCATCAGTCCAGGATTCAGTCCAAAAAGAAATGGGATTGGGCTTGGAAGGTCTGCGTCAACAGCTGAGTGAGATGATAGCATCATCAGCAGCAGAAAGCACTTCACAACAGGTCCCTGATATAGCTCGTACTCAGGTTGGTGATAGTGAAGCATAGAGGAAAGTTATTATTGGGCTTGTTTTAATTTTATGGTCACTTCATGTTTCATGGACTGTTGTTAAATTTGGAATGAGTAGACTGCCTGGTTTGTGTGTAAGTCATAGTTTTATCTATAAAGTTAATACTTCTCTCTACAGGTGGTAGTTTCCAACTTGCTGAAATCTGGACAAGTGGGGCAGGCATTCCAAGAGGTAGCTTTTTGTTCTGACTTTGCAAAGTTCCTCCTTTATTTTGTTTATCATTGAACAAGAAACAAGATACATAACAGAAAGGTGGACATACAATGTATCTCCAAACCCCTCTTATGTTTAAACTGTTGCATCTTGCTCAACAATCTGTGATTTCTGAGAGTATTTCGCATCATTTGATAACAGGATCTAAATAAGGGTATAATATGAACCTTTTCACCTGAAGGCTTTTCACAAAGTGGGAGAAGCACGACAAATAGGTGACTAAAATTTGGGGAAAGTGTTGTGTTGAAATATGTTATGTTCACTCCCAGTTGTGGTGTAGCTATTTTTCTGCTGACTTTTTCACCTCTTGCTCAAATATCTTTCAGGGTAAATGGGGATTGTTCAGTCAAAACAAAGATGAGTAAAAAGTGCTTTGCTACAAAAAATGCAATATGTTCATTCATAAAATCCCCAGCTAACTTCTCCAGTTTTTTAAGTGGGAAGGTTAAAAGAAAAAGGAAGATCAAAGTCTCTGAAAATGTTTCTGAAGGTTTCCGAAATATGGCATTAAATAGATCGTGTTATTGGCGCTGACAGTACTGCATTTTCTCTTAGGCCCTGACAGCCGCAGATCTAAATGTTGTGATGTATGTTTGCGAAAATGTTAATCCTGAAGAGGTCTTCTCCCAGTCACCTTGTCCTTTATCACAGCCAGTATTACTGTCTCTAATACAGCAACTGTCTGTGGATCTCACCATCAACACAGAGCTAAAGCATAAGTAAGTATGACTATGAATGTGGTTTTCCAGTTGGATTTCTGTATAAATAAGTCCAGGGGCTCATACTCTCCCAGTACGGTCATGAGTAAGCTTGGTTACAAGACTGAAAATGTTTAGCGCAGAGTAGAAAGACATCTTCAACTTCAAACACTCAATTATGATTAAGAACAGGTGTTTGTTCACATCCTATGTTTTCAAAGGAAAATAAGCACGAAAAGAAAGTTGTAAGAAATCAAAACTCTACCATGTAAGTTAATTATTTTCAGAAATATAAACCACAAAACAACAAGGACACCACATGGGATCACGCAGGAATGTCCTGGCAGTGAATCGTCCAATACTGGTTGATTTTAGATATTGGCCTTCTGAACTAGCTAAGTCTTGTATGCTTTCTCTGCAAGGTCTGTACTTGGTGCTTGTACCCAATCATCCTTGCATTAGAAATTAACCTAGATGTGTAAGGTTAAACATAGCTCAATGGTCAACCTATAGAATAGTTTGTGCATGAATTCTTGCCTAGAGCCAGGCATGCAATTTTTCTTTTTACCACAATTGCTACTAATCTCGCAATGTGATTGGCTAGTTTGCCTTTGTGGATTAGAGTCCAGACAACGCTGCTCGCGTCATCGTGTCACGCAATGCCTTTTTCAGCTCGCACTCTGTAAAAAGCATTGTCTTTGATGTTGATATTGTGGTAAAAGGCAGATCGAAATGTGGTTTAGCGTGGTCTGTACTCTTATCGACAATGATGCACGTCGTCACAGTGGTCAAAATTTGTTGTGGACTCTCTCAGCTGTGCCTCGCAAGTCCACAACATTTTGACCGTTGTGATGATGTGTCGATAAGAGTACAGACCATGCTAAACCACATTTGATTTGTTAATCAGCTCATTTTGTCTAAATGGTCTGAAACTTCAGAGCAGAAAAACGTAATCTAAAAAGCATGCATAAGTTTTGTCTTTGTGCCAGGCTCCAAGGTTGAAAAAATGGCGGGAATTTCGTCGATCTTGTAAACAAAAAAGGCTACGAACTTTGCATGCTTTCCCAATTTTCCCAGTAAGGAGCAACATTTTAACCTCACTAATGGAAAGCTAGTGTATTGCTTTTGTGGGGAATCAATTTTTTTCGGACAAAATTAACCTAAAGAACGCTTCCTAACTTCCCTGCCGTATACAAGAAATTTTGGCTCGAAGACATTTATTCCACAAACACTCTTTACATATTGCATCCATATAAGCACACCACTGAATATAGAAGTAAGAGAACCTCTCAGCAGGCAGGGAAGCCTTGTTTTCTTAACAGTGAAATAGTGAAAACAATTTATGCTCTTCCAAGTATAAATCAATCAACCAAATGACATCCTTGCATACCTTATTAGCAGTCAATCGTTCATTACACCATTGCAGCCTGCACTATTACTTGAGGCTGCAAGTAGAGTTAGGGATGTGCAGAGAGCTGTACAGTACGTTTTTCCGCTCTGAAGTCTGAAACTGGTCCTAACATTGGTTGTTACCAGGCCCCAGTCGGGCAAAGCATGGATAGAATGCTATCCTGCCATCTATTGGATAAAATCACAGTCCCGTGGATAATGTGGCTTGTTTAGAACCAACTCTTATCCACTGAATAGTGATTTACCCGCTGGATAACGCTTTCAACCCTTTGACAACTGGCTCCAGGTCTTAGAGCACAGCACAAACAGTAAACAAGTCTTTAGTACTCATATTTTTGATTTATTTTATTTTGATTATGATAAATATTATTTTCCTATGTAAGTCATGTTCTTATTGTCTTTTGACATAACAGATACATAGAAGAATCTCTCATGGCACTGGACGCACATGATGAGGTCACAAGAGAACACATGCCAGGTGTTGTAGAGGGGTTATGTCAGCAGCTTCAGTTGGCTATCCAAGAAGCATCAGGTCCCATGCAACGTTCTCTAAAGATGTTACAAATGGCTGCAAGGTCACTCCTTAGATAGCCAACAGTAAGCAGTACAAAAAGTGTAAATGGTAGAGAATCAATGGATAACAGCTGTACAGTTTGAGAGAAAGATGGCATCTGGCGACCCATAATGAAATTGGTCTCAAGAAGTTGTGGCGGGAAAATTCAGCAAAGACTTAAAAAAATGTTGTGCTCATATTTCATAAAGACTAGATGCTGAAGCCAGAACTTATATTTACCAGGACTTGCCTTGTGTTAGTACGTTAATGTTTAAAATGCACGCTTCAAAGGGTCAATCTAGGAGTAGATAGAAAGGTGTGTTGTACTTTGTCTTGTTACTGTTTCACAAGTGAAATGGCACTTGGGCACATCTAAAAAATGATCCTGCAATGGTCAACTTACTAAGTAACTCTTTCTAACCGAGTTCATGGGCTGTACTGTAAGTTATGGACCAAGTTTTTTCCCCATCGATCTATGGCCCAAGTGTGAAGCACGCAAGCCATAAATTGAAGGGGAAAAACAAGGATCCATAACTTACAGTACAGAACAAAAAAACGAGGTTAATGAGATATTTATTATATCTCTACTGTCTGTCTGATGGGTTCAGGAACAATTTCTATTCATGTGGAACAGATTCAAATTTCTGATGCACCACGAAAGCAAAACAAGTCACTTTGAAATCATTGTTAAGTGACTCTTAGTCATTAACAGGTTTTATTACACAAGTTCAGAAGTAAAAAGAAAGTTTTAAACTTTTACTTGCTAAAAAGGTTAAGAACACTGATATTTAACAAAACATTTTGGCAACAAAAACAGCTTTGAATTTTAGCGGGCCATACAGTCAAATACCCTGTGCTAAATTGGCCAATCACAGCATGCATACTAACTTAGAGATATAATAATAACAGTTGTATTGATAAGTTTAATGAAAAATGGCTATCTATCTTGTTTGACATAGATCTTCATTCAAAACTAAATCAGTGATGCATGAATTGTAGGGTGGGAAGTACTAGGTTCTGTTTATGTTAGTCACTTGTTATTCACCATTAAACATGAAGTTCTGGTATACAAGTGTAGACAACTACATTGTTTTACAACAAGCATACTCCAACTTTTCTCGTAAACCAGTGAAAACTGTCCTAGAGGGAGTTTGGTCTTGGTACATGTACCAACAACTGTATTGTGGTATTGTCACTCTTCTCTCCAGATGTTAAGTAAATTGGGAAAGAGCCTTTCCATGCTAGTCTAAATGAGCATGGTGGGATGAATTTTTCCAATGATAAATACAAAAATATCGGTGCTAAAACTAAAAAAAACTTGTCAACAATCAGAGTAAAAAAGTTATTGTCCAATGTTATACCAACATGGCACTGATGAGTTGACAAAGGCCTGGTTCACACATGTGACATAACGACAAGATCACGCAAATGCAAAAAGCATCCTATGTTGATGTTGTATCTCACCAATGTATATCTGACCAATGTGAACAACACAACATAACAAATTAAAAGGGACATAATGATGTAGGCATAATGACATGCAATGTAAGGAAAATTAATGTTAAGTTTTCTTGTATGTCACAAACTGTGTGAACCAGGCTTTAACACATTACCAAGAGTTTGGTTCACGCTGTACTGGCAATGGTTTTCCTGACAAACTACTGACACTTACCAATGTTTTGCCCAGCACACCATGCTTACAATACTGTGGCAGACACAGCTAATGGTGTCAACCCATTTGATGCGTTATGGAGGGCACTAGTCTGGCTATAATACCACTGACAGATTACTAGTGCTTCAATAATACACCAACAACGTGTTACCGGTCCTTTTAACTGACAACCTACCAAAATAGTGACAACAACTTGGCTCACAATAAGCACATACAAGCAAAAAGAGACAAGAATAAATAAGCCAATATTTTGTTTTTTATTTCACTCACTGCCATTAGATCACTCATTTGTACACTCTTCTAAAATTAAAATCAAAATGACATGTATTTCAAGTTAGTATTTGGACAATATTGGAACTTAATCATTTTCACGTGAATGATTTTGGAATCAGTTCTCATCATGAAAAAAATATATTCCTGTATGTTTATAGTAACCATAATTTGTCATAAATAATAATCAGAACCTTTCTGTACAAGTAATTATTTCATGTCAGTTTTTGTACTCTTTTTTTCAGATAGTAGAATATACAGAAAAATGATTTCTTGGGGAAACTCATTGTTATTATTATCCTGATTTTGTCATTTACCCTTTTCAGGAATGAAAGATAGTTCTTACTCTTTAACTTTATTTTCTGACCAACGACTCAACTTCCTTGGCTGAAAGATTTTGTGGCAATTGTAGTAAGCTGTTGAAGTTTCTTGTTAAAATTGCTGAAGTGTGAGTTCAAAGATTTTGTAGAAGCTTATTAGAAATGATGAGAAGCAACATCACTGTATATCTCTAAATTCATTAGTATGCTTTCTTTAGAAGACGCATGACCATGCAATGATTTTAAGATCCCTCATCAAGCTTGGGCTAAACAAACATGGAAGCATCTTGCAAATTTTAAACCAAAAAAAGGCAGAGACAAAATGCCAAGTGTTACTACTTCTAACATCTTTGAAACATTTTTAGACAAACAACAACTCAGGTTTACATGTAAAATTTGAAAAAAAAACAACCGACAAAAACCCACGTAATACAATTTCAATTCTTTATTTTCTACAAACCCGCCTGTTTACAGAAACGTTTTCACGGACGAGTACTATCCATCCGGGTATTTTCCGCGGACGGGCACTNCCCCCCCCCCACTACCCACCCTCCGAAATAACATACAAGCGCCAATTTAAATAAAGGGTGATTTGGTAAAATGTGTCCCAAAAAATGATCGACGAAAAGCGTAGAGTTTCTCAGACTCTACAGCCTCTACTCCCTCCATTTAGCACTGCCTTCTCTACTCTGTAAGTAAAAAAGCCGTACTCTTCTCATCTCTTCTCTACTATACTCTATTCTATTCTACGCTATTCTACGCTACTCTACTCTACTCTTCCGTACCCAAACTCTACTCTACTATACTCTACGCTACTCCACTCTACTGTACTCTACGCTACGCTACTGTACTGTACTGTACTGTACTCTACGCTACGCTACTCGACTCGACGCGACTCGACGCGACTCGACTCGACTCGACTCGACGCTACGCTATTCAGATCGAGTAAATTTAAACACAGTAAAATTCATTTAGCTACTTACAATCATACTTTAATTTTTAACTAACTACCTAAAATACAGTTAAAATTTTTTTGGTTAAAGTTCTTTTTTTCTTTTTTTTTTTTTAATTTTATTAATGCAATAACTTACATTACACTACATACAAAAATTACCTATTACTTACAATGTTAATGTGACTTACAATTTAACGATACTAACAAAACTTATAATACCAACGTTTACAATTTACAGTTGTTTCTTCAGTGGAGCAACTCGTCTCTGCACGTTGGACAAGTGGCCTGCTACAAAGAAAAGAAAGCATCTTTAATCTTGAATACAACTCTCCCCCTTATAGAGATTGAATTTGTAGCCATCAGAAATTTTACCCTGTTTAGTCCATCAACTTTTTCCCGCTACATTCCACAAAAAAGGCCTTTATCAGGAGTTTTCTCGCTGGTATGCTGCCGCTCTACCAACGAGACAACACTTACTGTTTTGACAACAAAAGTCCAAAAAGTTTAATCAACTTTTATCTGCCACAAAGTTCAGACTCGCTGCTTCAGTGTGCCTTATCAACACTACTTTCTTCGCATGACATTATTTTAGTAATTAATTTGTATAAACCTCGCACAGTGCCAAGGAACCTCAAACTCATTCAAATAATCTGTTGATAATCTGCGAAAGGGTTGTACTTCGCCTCACTTGTTTACATGAGAATGCACAAAATCGAATGTAGCTTTCTTTCAAGAAAAAAATTTAAGGCTACAAATAAAACTAGCTTAGTGGCTCGTGGTCAGTCAGTCAGTCAGGAAATGTTACAATTAAAAACTTGACTGTAACAAGTCTTCCCAGTAATAATTATCTTTATTTTTTAATTCTTTGCAATTGAAGAGATACCGTGTTGAAATAAATTGTCTGTCTGTCTGTCAATCTGCCTGTTTGTCTGTTAATTACACAAATATTAGTGCATTTACCATTTGTAGCCATGTTGTGATGCACTGATTGTAAAATTCATGGCTGCATGGCAGCTGGGTAGATTGCTCACCCTCTTGGAATTCGCTTAAGCAGACAGAACAGCATAACTTAAGAGCTGTAGGTAATTTAACCAGAAAATATCAGTGAAAACGTCAAATAAAAACATCCTTCTACAACCTTACTTTTAAAGTACGCAAATTTACCATCAAACGACACCGAAAAAGGTTGTGAGTTTCACTAACCGTTAGAAGTGACCACAAAAATATTGTTGACGCAAACATACAGATCAATCAAGGTGGATCAGACAATAATTATTTAATAAACAAAATGACAGCACTGTATCCACAACTCTTAAACTTTGGAGCAAATTATCAATTAAAAGAGGTGAAAAGAGAGAGAGAAGAAATGCTTCATCACCTCAGCACACAAAGCCAAGACTCGGCCACTTTTTCCGGAGTCATTTTAACTGTCAGTAGAGATGCAATCACCTTGGGAAGAGCTGGAGGGGAACCCTCATTGGTGTCCTGAGGATGAGCGGTAAAAAACTTAAAATACAAATACATCAGTACAAAAATTAGTCTTTGAGATGTTCCTTGTTTAGTCACCTCACCTTCGGCCAAACCCATCAAACTCATTTCAATTGGTGTAGCCCGGGAATTCAGTTGCTAAAAACAAGATAAAGAGCTAAGGAAAGGATTGGATGATTTGTTCTGTTCAAGAGTTCG